GTTTAGGGTTTAGGGTTTAGGGTTTAGGGTTTCGGGTTTAGGGTTTAGGGTTTAGGGTTTTTGTCCAGGCGCAGCGTTCGGGGCCGTGGGCCACCGCTGGGGCCGCTACGGAATTATCCACGAAACGGACTTGTGGAAAAAAAGGCCAGAGTTCACTTTGTGGCTTTTGGAGGTCAAAGACAAAAACATCGAAACTCTTTCCAACTGGGTACGCTAAACCCCACAAGGGGCCCCCGGGGGCCCCTGGGGGCCCCCGGGGGGCCCCAGGGGGCCCCAGGAGGCCTTGAGGGTGGCCCAGGGGGCCCCTGGGGGGCCCCTGGGGGCCCCTGGGGGCCCCTTTTGGGACTCCTGGGGGGCTCTTTTTGGGCCCGTAGGGGGCCCCTAGGAAGCCCTTTTGGGGCCCCCAAGGGGCCCCCAAGAGGCCCCAAAGGGCCCTCCAAGGGGCCCCTTGGGGGCCCCTTGGAGGGTCCCTGGGGGCCCCTTAGGGGCCCCCGAGGGTACTTTGGGTCCTTTGCGGGTCCGCGGGTCCCCCGGCCGCTTCGAGTGCGGGCCTTTGAGTGTTGTGCGGCGGGCTGAGGGTTTAGGGTTTAGGGTTTAGGGTGTAGGGTTTAGGGTTTAGGGTTTGTGGCTTGTGTAGGAGGAGAAGAAGTTGTTTAGCGACTTTGCAGAGGACTTCAACACGGCCTCTTTGCCGCACAAGAAGTTTTACAATTTGGAGTTGTGGGAGGCGGAGGAGCGCATGCGTTTGGTGAAATTCTTTTTTCCTTTTTTCTTTTTTTCTTTTTTATTTCTTTTCTCCTTTCACAAGGGCCATTTGCCTCCTTTTCTTTTTCTTTTTCCAGGCCCCTTTTTGGGTCTTTTTTGAATTCTTTTTTTCCCGTTTTTGGACTTTTAAAAAACCCGTTTTGTCTTTTTATTTTTTGTTTTCCTTTTTGTTTTCTTTCTATAACTCTCTTGGGCCACCTTTTGTTCTTTTCGAGTTTTTCTTTTTCACCTCTTTCTGCTTCTTCAAATGCTTTTATTTTCTCTGTTGCTGCTGCTGTTTAAAACAATTTTAAATTAAAAACAATTTCAACTTTGAAACAATTTCAAATTGGAAACAATTTCAATTTTCTAATTTGTTAAAGGGCCCCCCCAATTGGCCTATGGGGGCCCCCTAGGGGGCCCCCATAG